CTTTCTCTCTCTATCTCGCTCTCGCTTTTTCTCTTTCTTCTTCTTCTCTCTCTCTCTCTCTCTCTCTCTCTCTCTCTCTCTCTCTCTCCCTTGCAGCATCTGTCCCTGGTGTCCCAGCTTCCAGCTTTCTCTTCTACTAACGCAAGGTCACGCCACAGTGCTATTAAAGCTATAATATAAAAGCTGGCGGTCCTGTTGCTACCAGTTTCAAGTCGTTTCACCGAGTTACCATTCTACAAGCGCGGAATAGCCAAATAGTTACCAGAAGAGTGCCTACGGCAATACAGCCGTTTCAGACGCTACGAGCGTGCTCTGTGATACTACATAATACGGGTTATGTGAGGTCACACTCTCACGTGATGAGCGTTCGCGTATATGTAGGTTTTCACCTTCGCTTTAGTAATGGCCCTGTCACACATTGACGATTTAGCCAGCGTATGCCGACGTATGAAAAATTTGGCGAATACGCTGCATGGCGTACGTCGATAAGTCGTTACTCATAAGTCGAAATACGTCGAGATAATGTCTAGCGTACCCAAAACCTATTTCTAACCTATGAGTAACGTACGTGCTTTGAACCTATGTGTAACTTATCTCCAACGCATATTGACGTATGTAGACGTATTTGACGTGTTTGACGTGTTCCGGACGACCACAGAACTTACTGAACGTGTTTCAAATTTACAGCTACCGTATAATGGCGTATTGGCAGCGTTTAGGTGAATTCGTATATAAAAATTGTATTGGCATGATGATACTGCGACGGTGATGTTGATACTGCGATGTCTAGTGCGGTTATGATTTGAATCGTCGAGCGGCAGCCTTTTTATAGTCTACGACACGTGATCGTCGGCGATACGCTGCCGCGCGCTATGCATAAGTAAGACTATCGTTGAACATAAGAATTGTGAACGCCGGCAACACGCTAAGCATTCGTTGGCATAAGTTATCTATAAGTTATCAAAACGTTCTATATAAGTTACTAATACGTTATGTATACGTCCAACTCGTTATGAATACGCTATGTATACGACCAAAATTGAAAAAAACATCGATAGTTCAGCGTATGCCAGCGTTTTAGAGAAATTTTGATACGTCGGGCATACGCTGGCTAAATCGTCAATGTGTGACAGGGCCATAAGCTGCAATGTGTGTGTGGCTGGCGTGTGATTCTGCTATATAATACACTGTACTTATTAACTTTTGTTGGTGTCGTCGTTGTCGTTGTTCTTATCGTTGTTGTTGTTGTTGTTGTTGTTGCTACTGCTGCTGCTGCTGCTGGTGGTGGCGGTGACGGCGGCAGTGGCGGTGGCGCTGGAGGTGCTGCTGCTGCTGCTGCTTTCGCTACTATAGGGGAATAGCGTAAAGAATGTGTTTCATATTATCTGAAATGTAATTTTTACTCATAAATAAGTGCAGGTAAATTTTACGCGTGTATTTGCTGTTCTGTTCGACTGCATGCCAATACTTTCACCAATAGCTTCTTGATAATGTATATTTACATTGCCTCCGTCATTCGACATTTTACAGATAGAAGGCTGAAGCATTCACCTTTCCCGTTAGATATACCGTCAAGTGAACTGCTAGCCGTATGTGACTATAGGTAAGTCCGTCATAAGTTTCGTAACTGTGCTGAGATAAAAACAATCCTTTCTGTTTACACGTTCAGGGTTCGCATTTAAATTGACTAGGTAACGAATTTTCTATGGTAAAATTTTTACAATTTTTGTTGCCATTTTTTACATTAAAAGTAAGAACTAACCGGAACGTAAACGTATCGTCAAATTCTTACCTGATAAGGTTGTTTCTCAACTAGTTAAAAATCCAAAAAACCTGGACGATTTGATATTGTGTTCCTGACATTAATTGCTTGCTATGGG